ATTATGTGCAGTTGTGACACATGAAGACGATAGTGGTTAATTGGTGTTTAATTGAGATCGTTACGGAGTTTGGTTGGAATTCCGCTGGTGTTCTCATGAAGTTTTCCCCGAGTTTTATCAGTATTTTTTCGGATTTTCTGTCGAGTTTAGTCGGTGTCTTCACCGAGTTTTTGTGGAGCTTTCTAAGAGTATTTTGCGAGTTTCATCGGAGTTTTCTGATGGGTAATGAATGAAAAACCGAAAAAAATAATCCGGACAGACCGAGACTCGAACCCGGGCCGTAGTCCATTACAAGTCAAGGACTCAACCGGTCAAGCTATCTGAGACATTGTCCATATTTACTATTCAGTCACCTAATAAGACCCGCAGTAATAAACAACACTGTCTATCTTACGGAAACCGATTAAAGTTTTGAATCACTTTATGTATTGATAAAATTCCAATTTAAGTTATGATAATATTGTTTCAGTGGATCAACTGTAAAGTTTTGACAATTTTTTTATGATGTCATTTTTTTATGTATCGTATATTTTACTTATAAACTTCATAATATATTTATTGATTAACATATTCTATGTGAATAAATATATTTAAACTTGTAAATAAATAAATAAATTAATAAAAACTACACCGTAATTGAAAAATGATTTATTTATAGTCATCTTTGTGAAATCAAATTTAATTTTCATGTCATGAAGTATTATTAATCGCGAGTAAACTCCATAAGAACACTACCAAAACTCCGAAAAAACACCAGCGAAACTCTGATAAAGCCCCGCAAAACATCGAAAAAAACTCCCTAGCTACTCTGAAAATACTCAACAAAAACTCGACGAAAACGCCAAAAAAACTCCACTGCAACTACGAAAATATCCAACAAAAACGCGAGGTAAACTCCATAGAGACCGAAAAAACTCGTCGAAAACTTCTCGAAAACTCTAATAATACACTTTTGTGACTCCGTGTCGTAACTGCACACGATGCTCCTTGCATACACCTCTAAAACTCCGCGTAAACTCCGAGTTTACGCTGAGTCGTCGAAACCGCTAGGGAGTGTATTTATGGTGTAACATTTACAATCCATAGCATGTTTTTTAGTAACTGCTAACAATATTGTGAAGATGAGGGACTAAAGAATTATTATTACTGTGTTATTTGTATTTGAATTTAATAAAACGAATGGTTTGTGTCTTTCAATAGGAACTCTTAAGGGTAATTTCATTTTAACCATTCCGTTCATCTATCTTGGATGCAGTCACTTGAAAAAAAGGGTTTAGATAAGGAGCTAAGAAATACTCTACATCACTAAGAGAGTATTTTGATTAAATTTTTTATTGTTTCTATGTTCAGATGAGGGTTGATTTTACGACTAACCGTTTATTTTGCTTCTATTTCCTATCTTTTATTTATTTTTTGTAATTAAAAGAAGTCACTTTGAATTTATTTAGTTCGAAGCCAAATAATATGAAATAACAAGTATTATTCCTTAGTGATAAATAAGACTAAGTATTTAATAAAAAAATTAGAAAAATGGTTGACCCTAAAGGCCATCCGAGCAACTTCCCGCTAATTTCATATTTAAGCGCTCAAAATTGCACTTACTGTGTTTTTGAGCTCTTAGAGCTCAAAAATATAATTTTCGTGTCATTTTGAGCTCTCCGAGCTCAAAAATCTGGTAAAAGTGTAATAAAATATTATTTCTTAAATTTTAAAACCGCAATAACTTTTGAATGAATAAACCGACAGTTGATGGCATTCGACGCAGTTTTTCAGGCCTCACGAAGAATCTTTAAGTTTTAATCGATCGAAGAAGGAATTTCGATGTAATTCCGAAAAAACATTTTTTTCTGTTTTTTTTTTTTTTTTTTTTCGACAACGATAACTCACGAACGAATCAACCGATTTTGACCGGACTGGCGGCGATCGACGTAGTTTTTTGATGTTAAGAGCTGATTAGTTTTTGGAATTAATCAGTAAAGCCGTTTAAAAGTAATTCCAAAAAAACCACATTTAAAAAAATTTGTTTTTATAGTTTTTTTTTGAGATTTCTCAAAATCTAACTGTTCGAATCGGTCCAAATTGTATTCAAGATCTAAGTTTGGTCAAACCCTTTCCAATGGCACCAACCGCGATAAAATCGATCGAGCCGTTCAAAAGTTATGAGAGATTTACATACGGCCACACACACACACACACACACACACACACACACACACGGACATAATGGTGGAAACATTTGGGGAAGCTTCCTAGGACCTCAAAACGTCAACATCCGTTAAAAATCCGATTTTCGAAAAACGGGGTAAAACCAATAACTTCCCGATTTTTCGAAAATCATTGATTTTCTTAGCGG